TATATATATATATATATATAATTGGTCTGGTCACCTTGTCCACCTAGAAGACTAACATGTTATGTATGTGGAGTTCGCACAGGGAAAACTACCGCGGTGTAATCCCAGCAAGCACTATAAAGACAATCTGAAGGACAGTCAAAAAGATACATTTTGATATAAACATATGTGAAGGGTTGTATCAGATGGCAAACACGAATAGATCTCATTGCTATTGATTTCAAGAATTTTGAGACCAGCGGGATAGAATATTCACAACAAAAGCGGGCATCCAGATATATAAGAGGCATCTCCCAGAACGCTGGTTGAAGGAGTCTTTTAGATGTGATCAGTGTGGAGTCATTTGCTTTTTAAAGGCAAGTCTTCTCAGCCACATGTGGAATCATCGTGATGTCAACTGGCAATAGTATATGCCTAATGATCATGCATGTATAATTTGTCATAAAGTGAATCGATCAGCCATCGGACTCACACGATATTTCCACAGTCAGTATCCAGAAAGGCAAGTTGCGGCAGGGCGACTGAGATGCCAGTAATGTGAGAAGAACAGCAAGACATATTAATTTGGTATATAACTTGGCTCTGCGATTCCTCAGTTCAAAACCGCTATCCATTAATCCACCGTGCCTCCTCTCTCTCTCTCTCTCTCTCTCTCTATATATATATATATATATATATATATATATATATATATATATATATATATATATATATATATATATATATATATATATATCAGAAATTTTATACTAAGCAAATAGTGTATTTTCAATTAACCCCAAACATATTTATCTTTCATATCACAACTAAATACATTCTAATTATGAACAAAACGAAAATATTTTAAATAAATTAATATATATCAATATATCCACCAAAAACCTTAGTAAAAGAAACTAAATTATATACTACACTAAATCTAGTATGTCCAATTTAATCATTCAAAATGACCTACTAACGTGTTGCAGAAAGCCAACATTATCTATAAATTTAAATGTCCCCTTAAAGATTGTACCTACAACGGAAAAATAATATTTATGTTGTACACACTACGACAACGTTGTCTCAGCAGCTGAGTTTTCAATTGAATGATATGTCCAACATTTCCAAAATTTACAACATTATGCCTGTTTACATACGCAATTCAGAAAAAGTCTTGTTGAAAATACTTTTTCATAAAAATAATAAACATGAACTAAAAATTCTCGAAGGTATCTATAAAAAAAAATGAAGCCAAACCATAATAAAATTAATTATGAATACTGTACAAATGTTTTTATAATGTTGGCATTAATAGTTTTACTACTCATTTCTTCACAAACCATACTTAGTTACCTCCCCTGGAGCGGTGTCTAGCGATCATGCACTGGATCAGCGTTCTTCATTTTCCAAGTAAAAAATTTAACTTGCAGATGGACACAATAATTTTCTTTGATGAACATTGCAATATTTGTCTTGCGATAAACAACACCGTGATGATGACATTGCTCTATGTCGAAACTATTCGGAATAAATAATATGTAATAACACGGTAATTTTCAATCTTCCTTTAATAATGACACCAAAAGCTTGTCCTTGAATATAAAAGGTTACAACTGAAAATAAGTAGACAAACTTATTATTTAATGAATTATCTTTCTCTCTCTCTCTCTACTCTCTCTCTCTCTCTCTATATATATATATATATATATATATATATATATATATATATATATATTGTGTGTATTTAGGCAGCATTTCTAAGCAACTACAATTCACTTTCGTGGATCATATGTGACGTCATGAGATGTGATGCGATTTTGATGCATGTGTTTATCGTTGCTTAGAAATCATCTATGTAAACAATGACAGACTATCATCACTGTCGTGTCCGTATATTGTTTAATATGTTGTAATTGACATCTTTGATAATGGCTTATATAAGCCGAAAGCTTAGATTGTATTAAAAAAAATATGGATCAACATTGTGAATTTCTTTCTTCGTTCAACGATAATGTTATTAAATTTATCAGGCGTTATGAAAAAAAATTACATAAAGTATATAGACAACACTTATCTATATTATTTAATGAAACGTGCATATATATATATATTAGGTCTCGTCAGCTGGCTAGCTACCTATAGGTCGAAACCATAGTAGTGCGGTAAGATACTGTGTTTTTTACGCTTTTTGTATTGTCTTTTTCTCCATGTCTGTTTTTTCTAGCTACTGCATTGAACAATTTTCTATACGACCGTTTGTTTTGGCGTGGTAATTTTATCTGGCCTTTTCACATATGTATTTTTGTGATATATATATATATATGTGTGTGTGTGTGTGTGTGTGTGTGCGTATGTGTGTGTATGTGACTGTATTTCCAAACCGATGGAATACGATGCAGTGACAGAGAAAGTTATAAATCCTCCGATACGTCACCCAATAGCTGCTGCATTTCAGAGTGGATTTTGTACAATATTGCAATAAGTATAACTAAGCTCCGTTTACAAACCCGTACAAACCCATATCCAATGGAGGGCCCTCCTTCAACCTGAAAACCGGAATTTAAAAATGTTACGCGAACTATGCCACAAGGCATCACAATTCGACATTCACTCAACCATTCTGCGTGGTTGTGGCTTGACTGATTCGTATTCTGCATCGTTTTCCCCAACCAGGTTGTTGCCAGCCCATTTGTCGGTTTTCGTGATGGCTAATGTAAGAAACAAAAAAAGTGGGCAAACCCTTTTTGTTTACCCCTCTGCAAAACGGTCGTTGTGATGTTTGGAATAAATTTTAAGAAAAGGGCTTCGAGTAAGACACAAATACACGAGTGGATTTCATGTTTCGTACGAGGTGAGATGTACTTTATTAACCAAACCAGTCTGGTCGCCCACCGATATGGCGAAATATATATATATATATATATATATATATATATATATATATATATATTTTCTAAAAGGTTAATGGAATTATTTTTAATCCGATATTTTGACGGTTTCAAACGCTATTATATTTCAAATACCAGTATACACTGTAATAAGGTTAGAAGTAATATATATATAGATATATATTTGTGTATGTGTGTGTGTGTGTGTGTGTGTGTGTGTGTGTGTGTGTGTGTTTGTATTGTGTATATATATATATATATATTTTCTGAAGAAGTAATGGATACTCTTATTGGAAATAGACGCCACATTTTATTTCAAAGAGTGTATGACATCTATCGTCATGCACACACATTGTTTGCATATATATATATATATATATATATATATATATATATATATATATATATATATATATATATATATATGAACTTTTGAAACCATGGTAACGTAATTAGCCGATCTTTTAATTTTTTGAAATTTAAAAGCACTGGACGATATTTTTTCTTTATATTTGTATTGTGCACTTTTTAATACAACTGTTTCCTGGTATAATTAAACTCTCACAAATAACTGTTTTATAAGAAAAAAGAAAAAGAGAAAAGTGTATATTTTAAAAACAAATGAGATGCCGTAAACGCTTAATGTTTTTAGAACATATATTACACTTTATTTTGCTACACCTGTGTCGGGTCTTATGACCTCTATCAGGCGAAGAATGGTTATTTCCAAATATTATTTAAAGGAATTCATTTTTCTTGATGTTTTCTTATGTTCAACCATTGACTTTTGTGTGTGGTAATAATCCAAATTCTTCTTGGACTGGCGGAAAAATATCCCTTTACTTATGAGTTAATAAAATACTTAGAAAAGGGTCAGAGAAAGGGGAAGCAATAAAGTCTTTTTTCCTATCTTTTTAATGTCCTCTGTATCTTTTTAAACAGTCCTCCATTTTTGTGTATTGTGTGTTTTTTTTAGTATGTTTTCCATCACCAGATATATATATTGTTTTATTACAAGGAAATAGTATATATATATATATATATATATACATACATACACACACACACACTTTGTATGGTGTATAGGGTTCGTGTGAGTGTATGCGTGTGCGCGCGTTCGTGTGTGTGTGTGGTCCGTCTAGTGTGTTTGATTTTGCCAGTATGTGTGTATATATTCGTTCTACATACATATTTGTATGGCTCGAAGGCGTGTGTGGCACGAGTAGTGTGTTCTGCCACTATGTATACATGGTGTGTGTTTAGGTGTGTGGACTTACGATTTGCTTAATGCTGCTACGCACACACCATACACACATAGTGGCCGAACACACGAATTGTACCACACACACACACACACACACACACACACACACGTGTAGCAGAAATATGGAAAATAAGGTATAATATATATTTAAAAAATCCACATAATATCCAAAAACGTTAGCGGCTTCTCTTTTCTCATTAAAATATACACTTTACCCTCATTGGAACAACTATAATCCCTCTATTATATATATATATATATATATATATATATATATATATATATATATATATATATATATATATACCCAGGTAAAATAAGAACAAATGGAGTATAATTCCACTGCACGCAACATTTAATTTAAAAAGTGGGCTCAATAGTACAGCAAAATATTATTTATTTTAGGATATTATTTATTTTAGGATAAAGTGTTAAAAAAATCGCTACAAAATTACAATCCTGTTTCAACACTACAAATGTGTCTCCTCGGTCGATCTTAAACTACTGACGAGTGAACGATTAATTTAATTTCAAAAGCAGAATACTTACTTTTTTTCGAGAAAAAAAAAACTGACGTCCTTTAGAACACGCCGCGGCAAACAGTGGTTTCAAAGGGAGACGCGTGTTCCATCCCTGTCGGAGATAATAGTTTCTTTGTTAACTCATTACAATGCGTAAACCATTGGGCGTAATTTGTATTTAATGAAATGAGAAGAAACCCAAAAATTAGAAAATAGAAAAAAAAAATAGAAAGGGAGAGAAATAGAATGAAGTGAGGAGGAATGAAAAAGAGTTCATGAAAAGAAAGAAACTAAAATTAAAGAAAAAAAAGAGAAAAATAAAGGAAGTGAAGAGGAAATGAAGATTTAATTAAAAAAAAGAAAAATGAAAAGAATGAAGTGAGAAGGAAAATGAAAGAAAAATGAGAGAAAAAATGAGAAAGGACTAGAAAGAATCAAGGAGAAAAATGAAAGAAAAAACAATGAAAATGAAAGAAAATGAAAAATGAAAGAAAAAGACTGAATGAAAATGAAAAATGAAAGAAAAAGACTGAATGAAAATGAAAGAAAATGACGAAATGAAAATGAAAAATGAACGACAATGAAAATGAATGAAAATGAAAAATGAAAGAAAAACACTGAATGAAAATGAAATAAAAAGACTGAATGAAAATGAACGAAAAAGACTGAATGAAAATGAAAAATGAACGAAAAAGACTGAATTAAAATGAAAAATGAAAGAAAAAGACTGAATGAAAATGAAATTAAATGAGTGAATGAAAATCAAAAATGAAGAAAAACGACTGAATGAAGATGAACGAAAAAGACTGAATGAAAATGAAAAAAAGACTGAATGAAAATGAAATATGAAAAAGAAAATACCTAATGAAGGTGAAAAATGAAAAAAGACTGAACGAAAATGAAAGAAAAACTGAATGAAAATGAAAAAGTAAAGAAAAAGAATGAATGAAAATGAAAAATGAAAGAGAAAGACTGAATGAAAATGAAAGATAAAGACTGAAAAGTAAAGAAAAACAAAAAAGAAGGTAGGGAAAAAAGTGATGAAAAGAAAAGAAATGGCACGGTAAAAAAATAAAAATAAAAAGAAAAACAGAAAGAAAATTCCTCAAAGGCGGATTTGTTCCCATTCTCCTTTGAAAGTTTGTACTCGCTGATAAGGGCGAATGTCTTCAGATAGTAAATGCCACCACACGCATCAGTCCATCACCGAAACGCCAGCCATACTTCTTTTAGAACTTCCTCTAGACCTCTAACATTACTTCCGTTAAAGACCACGATCAATATCCATATCGATATTAATAAGCATTGAACAGTCGATGATGTGCCTAATATAAGCCTTTAGTTAGAAATACCCGAGAACACAATTAAGAAGCCTTCACAGTACTGGAAAAAAAAAGTAAAGGCTGCTAATACCCAACTGATCATTGTCTGGCAATGTTTGATTTGGAAAGCACGACAAAAAAGGTAGAGGTTGTAGAAAGTGAAAAAATAAAAATATATTTTTCCAGGCAAAAAAGGAGAGTAAGCGTTTTATCTATATCTGTTCATGTCTATCTAACTAGCTATCTCAGCCTTTTCATTATCTATCTATATATCTATCTGCCTCAGGCTGCTCATATCTGTCTATCTATCTAAGCATTTCACTATCATTCTATCTCAAACTTTTCATTATCTATCTCTGCTCATATCTATCTCTGCTCATAATTATCTATCAAACTCAGTCTGCTCATATCTATCTATCTATCTATCTATCTAAGCATTTCACTATATCTATCTATCTATCTATCTATCTATCTATCTATCTATCCCAGCCTTTTCATTATCTAGCTAGCTAGATCGCTATATACCTCGCTTGTCTCGCCAGATCGGTTACGACTGAAAACTGCGTTCGCATAGAATTTTTGCTTGCATCTAGATATTTCAACTGTAAAATGATGAGACCTTTCCGCCAATCTAGTACTGCGCTTCAATTCATAAAGTCTAAGTACCATAGAGCGAACGTCATAAGAACAATTACCACAAACGTATTTACATGGAAGCTACGTTACGGCGGTGTGAAACTGACTGAAGCCGAGATACCAGGTCAAGACAAATAAAATTGCAGATTATTCGATGTATTTTATCAAGAGTATACAAAGACATATCAGACACACCAGACCAGATATAACAGCAATATTCAATGCATTTTTTAATCAATTTTCCCCAAGCAATGTGGGAATGCCACTAGTACGCAGGGGGTTACAGAGATTGGAAGTGAGAGAAAAAAAACTGGGTAGAGGGGGGGTTGAAGAAAGGATGAAAAGTGAACAGGGTTCAAAACGACAAAAGATGACGATTGACATTGCATTCAAATTTTTTGAGAATTATGGTTATCAGGGAAGCAAGTAAGTGGAAGAGTGTTCTACAGTCGGGAAGTACGAGAAAAGAAATCGTTAGAATATAAGTGGCGGTTGCATTTAGCTATTTAAACAGTAAAAGGGTGGGACCTAAATGTCAATCTAGTAGTACGCTTGAATTTATGTTGTCGGGACACCCGGGAGAAAATCTAGTCAGAGCAATTGCCATGAAAATATTTGTAGAAAAGACAGACGGAAGCCACGCCACGTCGGTAGGCTGGATATTGCAGATTCTTCTTTGGATTTTGGCAAGATTCTCGAGATGAAGGAGTGGCAGACCAGATATGGTGACAGTGTTCAATGCACAGACGAAGGGTGAATTTGTAAATGTGCAATATGGACTCTGACGAGAAAAATCCTTCTCGCACGACACAATGAACCAGCTTCCCTTACGGTAGATGCAACTATTGATTCAATGTAGTTGTTCCACTTCAGCGAACGGTAGACTTATAAATGTGTTAGATAGATTCCAGTGAGAGAAATTATGTGTATGTTTTGTAATCCTTTCAAACAGAGTAAGGCAATAAAGCCACTAAGAAGGAAGTGAGGTTAATGAGCATGAGAGAATATATATATATATATATATATATATATATATATATATATATATTTTGTTTGAATAAAACAGACCACTTTAAGGTTCCATGTAATAAGTTATTTCACCACAGCCCTTTTAAAAGGGCTCTCTGGTCCACACCAAGTGGGGTTAGGGATAAAGAATTGAAATGGTACATCTAACTCACTCATGTCTTCTCTCCCCCTCACTTCCTCACTTCGTTAATTTACATATGCTTAATACGGCCCGTCAAAAATGTATAAATTTCTTTTCATTTTTCATTTCAACCTTTGGAAGTAAAGTCTGATGATCCAGAGCCCTTTAAAAGGGCTGTGGTGAAATAATTTATTACATGGAACCTTAAAGTGGTCTGTTTTTTTTATTCAAA